TTTCAAAAATAACAACATTACTAATGAGAAAATGAGCGAAAGAATATAGTATTCATATATGATATCGCAGCCCACCGGAAGCGGCTTATGACATAAATAAAATGGTAAGGAGATAAGCGACTTTAAGAAACAGGAGAAGACGTTAAATGACAAAAAAATAGAAGCTATGGAGAGTACTATATAATAGAAGCCCAATTTAGTCGGGCGGACCCCGTAGCTAGATAGATGCTCTCATATATATATATATATATATATATATATATATATATATATATATATATATATATATATATGAATGGACCGATTTGAATAAATTATGACATGGCACGCAAGATACAAGTAGTGATATAATAAAGAGACGAAACAAATCACGGGAAATGATTCACAATACACCAAATATACAAAACAATGATGGAAAAGAAGTGGAGTACCGTTTGCGGCAATGATAGGAAGGAGCGCGTCATAAAGTCAACAAAGCAACAAGATAAAAAATAATACCAATAACGCTACTAAAAGACATTGTGTTCCAGGAAATAATAAATTTCTTAACAAGTATCTATTTACTGTGTTCACTTGACAGTGGGAAATTATATTTTTGATTTTACAACTAATAGAATGAGAAGAAGGCTTGTTTATATATAACACAATATATGGATGTATCAAATGTTAGATCTACTGTTTTTATATGAACAAGTTGCTAATGATACTTCTCACTAAACGTAAAGACTCCATGTGGGTTTTCAAAAGTGGGGTGATTTTCAATTAACTAATATGTGTGTGAGGTTAACTATTGTGTGGGAGGTACGCATGTTGCAGTGAAAACCTTAGATATATATCCAGCAAACCTCTAAAAAAATGTTTAAATCACAAATGTTTCTATGACTCCGGTTTACTTTAATACATACAACATATTAAAAAACATAGAATCCTTTGGCCAAATTACTACCTCAATTATAGGAATATTTGGCTAAGCGCTGACATGAAATGGTCACCTGATCATAAAAGTAATCTAAATATTACTCTACCGAAGGAATGAGGGATAGTTCGAAAACATTTTAAGTATACTAGATATTCGGACTTTATTAAAGAATAAGAAAGATAGATATTACTTATGTTTCAACAACGACTGACTTGCAACAGGAAACAGAACACCTTCCTGAGCTATTTCATAAATGCCTAATAATAAACAGCTATCACAACATTCTAGACATATACGGACCATCAAGCTCGTATCCGAGCTTACGATAATAATTTCGAGTGCCCACGCCGGAAATTACAGCGATCTTCTTTGAGCAATGTTCCTCTCTGGCGATACGTTCGGCTTCCTCCATGAGCAGAGTTCCAAAGCCCTGATGCTGGAATTTCGATGGGTCTCTCGAGTGGACAGGCACCACACTTCCATAGACGTGAAGCTCTCGCACAATCGAGCATTGCTGACCCAATAACTCTGGTCGATAAGTCTGTTCAGGCGTGCACTTTCGCAGTCGAAGAAGCCCTATGAGTATGTCCTGTTGAGGATCCTCGTAAGCAAGGAAAGTCTCCCAGCCCCCGTTAGCGACGTAGTCTCGACGAACGAGTTCGATATGATACGGCACAACCTTATGATGAATCTCCTGTATGCCGACTTCACGCGTGCGAATATCGCGACACACAAGACCAAGATCTTTCATGCGGGCTAACGCCAGTTCTCGTAAGTTGCCGTTTTCCACACCTGAACTAACCAGAGGCATAGGTATATCCCGCTGCACTCGATAGATCCGCACCCAAGGAGGAACCAGCGAGAAAATCTTGGCAATAAGATCAACTAGCAGTGCTGGTGGGTAGCTTTTATAACGGCCAGTCTTCCATAGCTCGTAAAGACCGGTGCCACGGATGACAAGCGTAGGATAGATCTTTAATCCGTCCATTCGGAAACTGGGATTCTTAAACAGTTCAACAAATTGTAAAACGTCTCTTTCAAAGTCCACGTTGGGCAGATCCGGCATCATATGTGTCACTACTTTGAAGCCACAATCCTTAGCAATGTGAAATGTCTCACAGACGGCTTGCACGGTGTGACCCCGATTTGTATCTCTCGCAACATCTTCATAAACGCTCTGCACTCCAATTTCCAACCGCGTACAGCCATATCGGAGCATGTCGGTGAGGTGGCGTTGAAGGCAATAATCTGGGCGTGTTTCGATAGTTATACCAATACATTTTGTCTTTGATCGCTCCGAATACTTGACAGCTTCATCAACGTTTGCGCTTGTATGTCCTGACAAAGCATCATGAAGATTGCGTATAAAGTAATCCCGGTAGCTTTCCGGTAGCGACATGAATGTTCCCCCCATGACAATAAACTCAATTTTGTCGACGTCATGGCCTAACTGTTTTAACTGCTCAACCCGATGTCTCGTCTGTAGAAAGGGGTCGTATCGAGCTCGGATCGCTCGCATTGACGTGGGCTCGTAGCCGGTGTAAGACTGTGTCGAATATTCGAAGTCCGAGTCAGGACCTCCGGGACAATATACACAAATGTTGCCCGTATAATTAATGTGTGGGCACCGATGTGGTTTGCACATAACCGCTACTACAGCAATACCGCTTGCTGTTCGAACAGGTTTAGCTTTGAGTTTTGGAAGAAGAATTTGCTTAAACTGTGGCGGTATTGCGGCAATGATGTCTACTAACTTCGGTTGCGATTTCAAACCGTACCGCGCTGAGACGTCATATTTTACCCGGTTCAAATTAACGTCGCGCTTATCGTTATGCGCCTGAACTAATTCTTGAATGATTTCCGATATCACAATCATCTTCATTTCCTGAGCAGAGAGCGGTGTCTTTACCTCTCCGCGTCGAGTCCGACCCATTGCAACTGTTTCAGCCTGCCGTCACATTCACTAAAACACTGCTTTGTATATGATTGAACACTTAGCAGCGTGAAAACAGTATTCAGATACATAAAATATATTCTCGGTTCAAACCTCGTGGACAGCGCTCAATCCTTGATAGAAACGTGTTTTGATATAAACAGATGAGACAACCATATTTACAAACAAGGCAGACGATACCTCTTTGATAGGGCTGTGTATATATATATATATATATGTATATATTAACGGAAATTACTTCTAGGAAGTTTTCAACAATTTTGGACGTAAATTGTTTTGAAAGAAAATAAGATTATTAGTTGTCTGCAATCTGTTGGGCAGTTGCTTGCTAAACAATTTGACCTGACCTGCCTAGCTAAACTTCGATGGTTCAGATAAGGCGCGCGAACAACCTTGAGAACTGTTTCTGCCGGCTCTTAAGGCGTCGGATCATCAGCTGCATAACATGCTAGGTGTGTAAATAAAAGCTTATGAAAGTGTAACAACGGAATTCAATGTAGCCAGTGACGGTGAAGTCGCAGCTGATGCAGTGAAGTGGAAGATGATTTTAATGACCTCAAGATTTCAAACTGAACTGACGTGTAGCCCTAGTGTATCATAGGGGCGTCGCTACTCGATAGATTAGTCTCCAACCTGCTGATCCGGACCCCAGCCAACATATCTTCCTGTAATTATGGCTGTTGGTGCATTTCCGTTGGCTAAGCTCGGCGCACTTTTTCTGAAACAGCTGTCAAAGCCACTGGCAAACAAACTTAAGATTCGGGCAAAAAATTCGCCTTTCTTTCGACGTTGGGTATGCATGCCTCCGGCTCAATTTTATCACTGGTGTGAGGTCAAAATCAAAGTGCGAATACTCAATCTCGGTAAGCCGTCCGCTGTTAAGCCACTTAACGAACGTGAAGCCATCGACCTTGGCGCTGAACTATTAGGTGAAGCTATAATATTCGCCGTTGCTGCCGGTACAATTACGGCGGAATACCTGCGACAATCACGTAATGAGCGCGCCAAAGAAGAGACGAAAGAGGACAGATATCACAGGTAGGATTTTGTAGCTATACAAAAATATTTTTTGGCTATTACGTCTGGTGTTACTGCCTCAGTTAAGCATTGCTTCAGAGGCCATTTTTTTTTTGAGGGAATACGGTGTGGTCACCTAGCGTAGTACCGCGAGGTCAGGTAGTAGGTACGTTACCTTAGGATTATCGCAGGTATAGCTCATGGAGCTGCCGAGCAGTGAACGGTGCTCTGCGAAACAAGTTTGGTATCAAACAAAGCATAGTATCAATCGATGTTGACATGACCGTGGTTTCTATGATCGTGATCGATTTTTAATTTAAATTTTTATAAAATTTTATAAAAATAAAAAAAAGTTTAAAATTAGACACTAGTTAAGTGCATGTTTTTCCTCTCGAGAGCACATGTCATTTAGTTAACTGACTTTCTTTTTCTGTGGATCAGTGAAAAAAAACACTTAGCCCCGTTATTCGTCGCCAGCTTTGATGCTAGACAGTTTAAAATTATTATAAACAATTCAACTTTTTTTTTTGTCAGTCAGAACTGGAAGGAACAACACTTCAAGGGCAGCCACTTTAGCATTGCGCATAACGCTTTGTAGGCCAGGTTCTCCAAGTGTCAAATGTTACCTATTGGCGACACAACTTAAGTAATTTTGTGCATGTATTCGCTTTTTCAGATTAACACACGAGCTCGAGGAACTGCAGTTATTGGTAGCTCGACAGGAGGTCGAGATTCGTCACCTTAGTCGGTTGGTGGGAACTCCTGTGCGCCAGATCGTGCCCGTTGTCGAACCTAACCCGGCTGCCAGGAAGGAAGGCAGCACCTATGTTTCCTTAGATCAGGCGGTAGAGAATGCGAAAGCAGCCATGGGTAAGGAAATTTCGTGTGTCGAAGACGCTAAACCTTCCACCTCTACTGCAGCTGGTTCTTGCAGAGTTTCATTCCACGAACAGGGTACGGATCCGGGCAAGACAAAGGGGACGACCCAGTTTCCTGTTAATTCGAAAAAGTGACATACGCCTCAGTTAGGCCATTCTTTAACACAGGCTACCATATTCATAAATTTATTTATTTATATATCTAAATTATAAATTGCAAAATGATGGAAGTTGTGCCTGTCATCTCATTAGTTTATGAAGAGCACTTTTACTAAAGTAGTAGTTCCATGGGTGCATCAAGCAAACTACTACCCATTGTAAAATTACAAAAAAAAGATGAGTAGCCAACAGTTTTGCCGGATCTTCACACATGCATGCAGATCATATGCGATATTGAGCAAATCATAAATGCAGGAGGGTTTTCATTTAGCGCAATTATCAAAAGAAAATCCAAACTGAAATGAAACAGTGTGAGTGTCTATTATTTTTCAAATTTTCGTAATATTCCTAATGACTGTCTCTCATTGAAAAAGGTCACTCCTACTAGTAGTGCTTATCGTTCTCACAGCAAAATAACAAAGGGAGGTGGTCTGAATTGAAAAGTCTTCATGCACAACTGTAACACAAAACTGAGCTATGTTTTGTTAAAACCTTGGCACAGAAACATCAAAGTGATAAAGACATAGGCGAGCGTGCATTTAAACGAGCAGTAAATTTCGTCGCGTGAGCGTCTACTATTCCTTGATAAACATTTAAATCTCATTCCAGCTGCACACACGTTACCTTGATGTAAGTTTTTTTTTTTTATATTCATTGTTAATTAACAATTTTTAAAGTAGATTGAAGTTGATAAGAGGCACGGATTCCTTGGTCAAGTGTTAAAACTTTTCCTCATCACGCTAATGATGGCGTGGTGAACTTCGCCACGTGCTTTATAATTATGGGTGGAGTAAAAAGGACAGTAAAAGTGAGTCTTATTGGAGACCCTTAGCGACACGAGTAGGTTTGCGTATCATTGAAAGTCAACTAGTCGCTAGGTAGCAAAGATACTACTGTGTATAGTAATAAGCTCATGCTAATAAATATTTGTAGTAAAAGAAGTATGCCTCTTATTTTTCATAACAGCTCAAAAAGATCAAAGGACGTTTTGCGTTAAATCGTTTGAAACATCTTCTTTAGTGCGGAATGTTATCAGCAGCGCTTTTTGTGATGCATGTGTTAGATACTTATTGCGTAGTAATATAATAATTGCGTAATAATAATAATTGCGTAGACGTAGATAATTATTGCGGTTTTGGGTACGCAAGGTTCTTCATTTGCCTTCGAACAACAATAACGTCAATATATACTTGGCAAGTTGAAATTTGCAATCTTGTTCAAATGGACAATCAATGACGAATTCAATCTGCTTTAATTGTAGTGTGCAGATGGCCTCATTATTCTTGTTAGCATTCTGTTCTCGATGGCATTGCGGCGATACATTCTTCATTATCCGACAGAATATCACAAATAGAAATTCATCTAGCAAAAACCAATTCGAAATAGCATCTAATGGCGAGCGCAAAGGTTTAGACTTGTAAACCCTGAGCCCCTTGATTCGGTCCTATCTAGCCGAGGTTCAGAGACGCTTTTGGAAGTTCTTAATAATAAATGTCGACAGTGACATGTGATCAGCTTGAAGATCACTCAGAACCGATCCTCCTAACACCACATGTACTATTCCCCTGCTGAGAGGTCTAAGCTATTACAAGTAAAAATCCAACCAAAATGAAGGCCTTTTAGCTTCCTTTGATACAAGCTACATCCAGAGCTCGGTTATTTATTCCGCGTATGTCATGTAGGGTGCACTTTTGATTTAAATTACGTACAAATGTGTCAAGATTCACTTGGCCGGTACGTCGCTGTTTGATTAGGAGTTCTCACCGTAGCTTCGTCCTACATCGGAGGCAGCTACGCATGAAATTAATGAAGATAACACCGTTTTCAGGCCTGGGTGGTTGTCAGACCCGGAGTGCGTGACGTAGTCGACCGGAATGCTCGGTAACGATGGATAGCTGCAATGTTGACGCAATAGCTAAAGAAAATATGAGCTACAACTCCTCATTCACGAGAAGATTGGACGCACGTAGGTAGTGTCGCCAACGTTCTGGCGTGATTTTATGAAATTGATAAAAGCGTAGCCAGGTTGGAGGAATGAAAAAGATCACAATGAATAGTCATTATAGTAGAATTGAGCTGTGAATATGAGCGCTGAAGATTGGCGTCCACGGGATTTGCCTGTTTTTGCCGATTTGCGTAATCGCCGCAAAAGAATAGATTGATTTGAAAGCTTGGCGGGTTTCTTCTACTAGGCGGATCTTCTTAACGACGAAAAATATTGAAACAATTCGCAAGTCAGTTCACAGTAGATCTCTATTAGTTCAATGATCCAATATAGGCGTTGACATTACTTAGTTCGAGTTGAGTAATTTCTAGCTAATACAGAAGATTCCAGTAAAGCAAGTATAGTCGATTGTTACTGAAACAGTTTCAAAATGTAATTAATATGTTTTCTATGATAAAAGAAATGGTCTCGTTTTGAAATTAATGTAAAGCGGCTTTTTATTTTATCTTGATTCTGTCAGGCTTTTTATTTCCTTAGTATTTTCCACTGTAGACAGTGACAGCTTCGAGAGATGAGCATTAACGATGTCGACTTTTGTCTTGTTAAGTTATGCCCCGGAGTAGTTTTGAGTAATTTTAACAACTTATGGCTATGAACAGACTCGCCTGAGAAAAACTTACGATTTCATCCCATGCTATTTTTAACAAAGGGCAATAATAGAGTTGACCTCGTGTGGTCTAACAAGCAAAGCAATTAGGCTTTGCGTAGATTTCCGTAAGTTCTGCTCTTGTCTGTTCTGTAAGCTTCTTTGCACGTATGTAGGCTTCGCATACTCGTATAGGAATAAATACATTCAGTATCTCATTCAAATAATTTTTCTTTATTCATATTAAGCCCATGAGGGGGCAAGGCACGATGCCAATAATTCTAATGGCCAGGCTTCTAGCAGTTTATAGGGAGGAATGCGCGTACCAAAGGCGTAGCAATTTAAGTCAATATTGCTAGGTAGAAAAAAGCTTAAGCTATGGTTCACATGACTATGCTTTGTTTCTAGGATGAAATTGACATTTCTAATATGTTGTGAATTTATTTTATTACCCAGTAGTGCTTCTTCGCAAGTATAATTTTACTAATTCTGTTAAACTTATTTGAGATATAGAAATTATAGAATGCGCACAGAACTACAACTTCCACAACCTTCATCGACATAAGAAATTTACCATTTGTATGAAGCCTACATGTAAAATCTTTAGCTTTATTCATTACGTCGATTCGTAAGCTCAAGGCACGACAAACTGAAGATGAGAAATAAAGTTATTGTACGGCTCGATTTTCGTATAACACTGCTGACTTTGCGTATTTTACAAAACGTATTTAAAGAGAAAAATTGTATAGGAATATTTTTTAAACATGCATTGCCTTTTTGGTAATCAACTGGGTCAAGTTTATACAAAGCCAACGACGTTGTCCTTATAAAACTAATCTCTTTTACACAATTTGCCTTTCTACCAGCATATTTAATGGCTATTATTTTATTTTTTAAACTACTGCAACAATAGAATAATACGACTGAGGCAAAAATATCACATATCATCTATACTATTATATGCTATATATAACATGTCGGTTTTTATAAGTTGCTTTTAGGCCTATATTTAAGCAAAAGCATATATTAAAACATGATTTTTTGCAGCGTCATTCTTTGAAGCTTCGTTTATCTCGGGTACAGGCTTCAACTTAGGCCCCAGCAGCTCACGAACCCGTGTCAAATGCTTTCTTTGCAATTGTAGTCTTGTACCTTTTTGGTAGCACAAGCGAACAAGTCGACGCTCCCATATCGAGGCTTGTTCATCCTACCCTTAATTGTGGCCCACATAAGTTAACCCAGATCAAATCTGAGCTTACCGGCAATTAAATGTATTCATTCAAAAACGCACAGTGTCTTAGGCATTCCGCATTAACCAATCAGTTAACCAAAGCTAGAAAACCTTTCATTTGAAGACTTCCTGAAAACATCTTAGTTATCCACAGTCGCGCAAATTTGATGATGAAGCTCGTTAGTAACGAATTTGCTTTTTCAACGGTCTTTCGCTAGGATACTAGGGACAGAATGTGGATTTACTTAAAAATTGGCCTCATCCACAATAGGCGTATACTCTGGATTTTGAACACGCAAAGGATTAATTCCGGGTTGACTTTTTCATTGAGAATAAACGTTTTTTATAAATAAAGAAAGAAAAATACATAAAAAAATAAACTCAAGATCGGCTACTAGGAAGACAACTGAGGAGTAAACGCGATCGAGTCGGCCCGAAGGTTTTGTTGGTCTCAAAAAGCATGTGTATGATTTTCATGACATGTGATGCGCACCTGAAATCTTTATTAGCTATCAATAGTATACTGTCATGAAATCTCATTGGTAATGACCTGATCGAAACAGAAGGATCGTCCAAAAGGACGAACATTTATGCGCGCCCTGTTTTTTGCCTATCGTGAATTTTTTTGTTTAGCTATATGGAACCTGTTTCTGCTTCTTTCGTAGCTACATATAAATTTGAACAACTCTATAGATTCAGAGTAACTAAAAAGCTTATTATATCGATGAGGCGTCACTGCATGTGGAAAAGCAGCTTCTCTCAGCTTTTCACATTATATTTTTTCACGAGGGCCTACAATTAGGTTGACTTCTTCCCTTCAGAAAGTCTACTACTGAGTGATTTAAACCGTTTTGATCTTTCCATTCTGTCAGATGTACTTGAAAATTATAATGTATTTTGTGTTTTTTTTTTTTGTTTTACAAGGACCTTGGACTGGAACTAGCTAGATTTATTTCGAAAAAAATACTAATCTGATTAGATCCCAATCAAGATTTATTCATTTAGTGATTAGTTATTATGTGCTAAATGAGTGCCATCATGCTAAATAAGTGTTAGTTAAACGTGCATTTTGTTTCTCCTGTATGTATGATCTAGAACCCACTTCCTCTCAAGCCCTGGGAGTTTTTTGTTTAATGCACTACCTATAAAGCTGGGTTTGATTCAGCTTGCATCATTTGAATTGATGGGATGCGTGTCAAGACTGGCAGCCAGTACGCCTTCAGTGCATAGTAATCTTGACCGATACTCTAGTTGAATAGAATGGATTTTGGTTATATTCTGGTAAACACGAGTCTTACGAATCCGTTTCAAAAATCTCTTTATCATTCATAAAGTAATGCGATGGCAACACATTTAGATACTGGCAAATGAAAATGTGTTAACAACATGTCTTCATCTTGGAAGTACGTAGGGCCAGGTATAATTTAGTTCGGATCATTGCTTGCAAAGTAAGGCTTGACTGAGCAAAATTAAAACTGCATGATGTTTAAGAAGAAAATTTTGCAGAATGTAATTTCATTTTAGGGGCACCTTTTGCTTGAAAATGTTCATCATCATTCATCAAAAAGCATCAATGGTCTGAACGATTTTTGCAGAACTGATTTTAATCTTGTTTGAGAATAACACGGTGAATTTATATGAAACATAAATTATTGATTAAAAAATGCGTATTTATTAAAACCTATGTTGGTATCTATATAAGTTTATATAGAGATAAGTTACCCCGTTTTGCAAGTAGATTATGGATAATTAGACGATTCTACGTGCATTTCGATTTTTTTGCAAAGATTTATCCGCAGGCTCATTAACGAATCTTGCAAGCGCTTAACTGTAACGTCCTATCGGTGAACTAAATCGACGTTACCTTTGACATAGTTTGTTTAATAAATGTAGTCTTCATTTATTTAACGGTGTACTACACGCTTGCATGTACCTGCCACTGCTTTGGTTGGACCTAATATTCTATGGAATAGTCATGAAAAAAAATTTGTTTGAAACCAGTCTTTTTACCTAGTTCTTACATCTGTTTATAAACCGAATTTTATAGGTGGAATGCTAGCACAGGTTATCAAATGCTGTGTAACATGAACTACATTGGAAAGCAGTGGGTTATATAACTTCATAAGAGGCAGTTGTGCCTTTATACAGACCATCAACATGGACAAGACCTGGCGTTGTACATTAAAAAACGCTAATTGCATGTGCAATTTTTTTAATAGCGTCTCAATCTAGGCAGATTTTGAAACTAGGATTAGGCCTAGATTTAGAGAGAAGTTGTGATTTAAGATTTAGTATGTGAACGTGTTGTTGTATTGCTGCATGTGCCTTTCTTGGTTATCAGTATAAATGAATTTATATTGGATTTCAAACGTGGATAAAAGCTATGATGAAGGTTTTCTATTGGTGAAAAAACTTTTAATAAAATACTACATCAAAAAGTTCGGCCTATATCAAGAATATGTTACTGCCTATTCGACAACTAAGAAACATCGAAATATAGAGTTACTTTATGTCTGTATTCTTTTTTGGCTCGATAAACACACCAAACATTGGCCATAAAATTACGGTAGATTTGTGCAAGCTGAAATTTTAGATCTGAAGTTAGAGCTAGAAATTGGAAAGCATGGTCCGCATCACACCGCCAGCGCTTCCTGTTTTAAGGATGGTCTGTGCTTGAAAGCGTACACACAATCATTTATAGAACGTAATTTCTGTGAACAACTCATATTCATACGGTTCTGCTGCAACGGAGATTTTGTAGGTCCAACAGTACACAAATCACGAACGAAATTGGACGAAATTGGCACAACGGATCGTCCCACACAATGCTGAACTTGATATCGAAATGAAAACTTAAATTGCTACTTCAAAGTTGAAAGATGGTCATCAGCCGAATCAGTTAAGTAAAGAGCAAAATGCACTCTCAAAAGTAGTAACAAAGCTACCTTTAAAGTCGATGAAATCAGATAATAGTAAAATAGAACCGTGGCAAAAAAAAAATAAGACCGTTACACGAGCGATGCTCTACCTTCAAAAGACAAGTATTTTTCGAGAAAACTCATATCTGCACAATGTATTGAAAACGATGAAAAACCAAAGAACTAGCAGCATTTATAGCCCTCCCAGCAACAACGAACTTTCTATGTGTTTGTGTCTAAACCAGTAACAACTAAAACCACAAAAAAGGGTTCAGATGCCTTAATTTTCTTCATATAACATAAAAAATATACTTTTGCGTATTCGTATAGAAAGTATAAATTAAAGGGTAATATATTACTCGCGGCTGCAATCTTATCAAATTCGTAAATGTGCATCCCTCGATTTTCTGGGAATTCATTAAGAAGATACGATATTAAAAGAAGCTTGCTTAAACTAGGAACTCCTTTTCGAAAATGATTATTCTCAGAAGGCTAACAAGATCAATTTTTAACTATATAAGTAACTGGAAAAGTAAACATTCTATAAAATATATGAAACCTTTCCAAGGTTATCCCCATAAGGACCTCTTATCAAAAAACAACATAATTATTTTTGCGCCTAATATTCACCACGATAAGGTTCTTAGATATTTTCAGTTCAAATTAAAAGGTTATGACAAAACTCTGTAAAGTATCCTATTCACCTCTGCTTTACTGGAAAGCGGCCTTTTCCCAGGCCGTCAAAAAAGCTGAAAGATCAAGTAGACGTTATGCAAAAAAAAAGTTGTTCAGCAGTTATTCGACGTTATTTCTTTTATATATATATATACGTATGTAAGACATCGAATAGTGAGAAATATGTCGTCATTAGCACGACCCGTCAGGCTGAAACGACTTCATAAACGAGGAACTGCACAAATATACAGATCATTCATCCACAACCAATAGAAGGATCACAAAAAAAATTTATGCAATATACTAAATTTTGATTTGTCTTTGAAAAAAAGCAAATTATTAGAAAATCATTTTTTATATGTGCTGTTTCTTTCTCATAACATCCATAAATGTAATGATTTTTGTATCTATTCGTGCCAATTCCCGCCGATGCCACCAGCAAAAAGAATGCGCTACTAGTGAGAATATAACAAAATATATTTATTATAGGTTTATTTATTTGTATGCTTTGTGTATAATAAAATACACGGAGTGTTCGGGACAAGTCGAAACAAAATTGATTTGGCTAGTCTATAAGCTTCACCTAGATAAAGAGAGATATTTGGGTGAAATATTTTGAAGCAACTATAAGGACAATCCTCACAAGCGAATTAATTTACTTTGATCTGCTATTTACTTCGATCACGGCTTCAATTCGGGGCTTAAACCACTTGCATATCAATTTAGAAAGCCACAAGGAAACCTAATAATGACTAACGATTTATACTTTCAATAAAGGCTTATTTGGCGCGAGGGCGTTCAACAATGGCTTATCCGCTCATATTCCGAGCACGACCCTCCTGCCTTCTCTCTGATGCAACGATTTTATTCCGGAAAAAAACGGCTTTCTTGCGGTACGAAGGTATGTCCCAATTTATCCCGAACACCCAATATATATATATATATATATATATGTATATATATATATATATTTGTATTTGGTTCATATTGGCAAGAATATTTTCTATCATCAACATGTTGGTGTTGTTGTGTGTAGTTGAAAACGACAAATAAGTATAAAAACAACATGCAGAACCGACAGACATTGTATATAGCCTTCAGGTTGGCTACTCTGCGTGTATTCACTTAGCCTACTTAGCCTAAAAACTTCGTCACTTCAAAGTTAAACTTCAAATTGCGTGTTTATCTATCCGTGTAATGATGATCACCGCCCGTATAATGCAGCCTTAGCGCCTGTGCTAACGGAACGAAGTGCGCCTATCTCCGGATTCGAACCTATACCACTATGCGTCCCTAACACTAGCAGGTAGATACATTACCCACGAAGGCATTATGGTGCGTTTCGTCCAATTTCCTTTAAGTCACGTCAGTATTTATTTGCGATTTATTATGCGGCTTGATCATGTTTAGCAATTTAGCGGCATTTTTTCCGTAATCTATACAACCCTGTCCATTATCTACTGGTTGAGGTGTAGCCATTTCTTCCGTTTGATTTTTATGAAGACATAAAATATCAATATGCAGTGTATATAATACTTTATTATACAATAATTGTAAAAGCTTTTAAATATTAATACGATATAGAAAATCAGTCTGTGACCAATTTTCTCGTCATAGCGCATTTAGTACGACGTCACATGGTTAGATCTACCAGCCCCCTCTGTAGCACTTACTTGGACGGAGTGAGTCTGGCTTATGGGCGAACCGGGTTTTTCTTGATGCATTTGTGAGCAAGCATTATTCTCATTTTATTTGTTTGTCTTTCACTCTTATGCCTGCTTTTTGAAATGACCCAGTTTATTTTAAAACACACAACATGATAATATCTGCACTTTTTGTCTAAAGACGTGTAACCGATTTGTACGACCAAATTCGTAGTTCGTTCAGATTCTAAGCGAGATCAATTGCGAATCGGAGACTATACAACGAGTAATGGGGCAATACTTTGCTTCTCTTTCCTTATTATCCCGTAGGGTTCACAGGGCTTTGAAACCTTAAAGTTCTAGACGCGATGAACACTATGAAACTGTCGAACGAGTCCGTTTTTCCAATGGATAAACGCCTTATCGATATCAGCAAATGTTTTTAATGCATAATGGTTCAAAGTCACTTAAAATGTGTAAAAGCACCATCGACGCAGTACCGATACAGTGAAATATTTGAAACCAGTTTTCCCCGTATTACAGCGGAGAAGGCGAGAGCACCGTTTGATAATTTCGCTGCTTTGAATTGATGAGTCATGAAGAGTTCAGGGCTAACCAGCTGTTTACTGAGATCAGGAAGTGTTATTCGTCTGTGGCCTGTTTACGATTTAAGAGATTAATTGCCATCGGCCGTAATCAATCATACCACCGAAAATCTGTGCTCAGATATTCTATTGGAGCCACCGAAAATCTTATTTTAAATGAGTGTTCAATACGAGACGAAATATTTACCTCTGTTCTTCGTACATGTCGCGTGTATATAGGCGACGCTATGAAGGGAATCCGTGGTACCAATTATTGATTGAGGGGCCCATTTATTTGACCACCGTTTCTCTACTAACGAACTGTCTCACTTAACATTTCTATCACCGGTACCCTGTTCACCGCTATCCTGACCACATCGTATCATGGATACCGCGAAGTAATTAGGGCCCTATAACAAGTCACTTCTTTACATTCTTCAACCACTCTTAAGCGTCCTTCTCTAACGTCAAGTATCATTTCCACTTTGCTCCCAATTAATTATAATAATGTTTATCAATTAGTATTTTGTGCTGTTTTTAAGAACACTTTTTATGGCAAACACACGAATCAAGACGTATTCCGCCGAACATCTTTCCAAACATGAATGCCCCTCCTGAGTTGCGGAGCATTTGTATTAATGACTTGGTGGAGTGTAGTTATTGCAGTACGCGTGGTTATGGTGGCCACTATTATAATTAGATAGACCAACTCGATTATCGTTGTGAGTGGCGTCGTTGTTCATATTTGCATAGAAATGTTCATCTATATAATCAACAATATTACTGTCATTGATAACGAGAACATTAGAACTATTATTACTACTAACAACGTCGTGATCATTGCCGTTATCACTGTCCTGCATAATTTCATGCATCGTCTCACTATGATTGTCGTTATCTGTGCTTACATTATCCATACTGGTATTAGCAACACTAGTAGGATTTGTGTCGTTCGTGTTATTATTGCAATCGTTTGCGGATGTGACCTCAGCAACCTTCGGTTTCTTCACGCGGGTTTTTTGTCGCCGAAGCTCGAGTCCTTCGGCCATCATAAGGAGCATTTGGTAGTTTTTCCTGCCGCGCACGTGCACAATGTACTCCTCGTTATCGGAAGGATTGCCTGCCTCGCTCTCAGTGGTGTCCCTACGGCTCGAGTCAACAGCCGGTCTGATCCGATTAGAGGAACTCGGTTTAGTCCTCCGAGCACGGAGAAGGTTCGTCTTGCCAGTACCGGCTCTACCTTCCTTGCTGCCGCTGCTGGCGGTGGTGGTAGGTTCTTGGGCCTTTTTTTCAAGCTGTTTGCGCGCATCGCGCACGGGACAGGTGACGATTTTTACTCTGATAAAACTCACGCCAAGGACGGTATTGCAGGGTGAGCAGAGAACTCCTACGAGGGTGGTCGAACGACGATTCATGCCGCCTGAACAACTATTTCTGCATTTGAACTTCACTCGGATAATATCGTTCTTTGTTTGGGGAGGTAGTGACACACGAAGCACGTGGCGTTCACCACCCGCACTTGTCGACCCAGATGGCATCCTAAGATATTCGGCGTTATCGCTATCACCGGCTCGAATAAGAAACTCCGCTAGAGCAGCAAAACAAGAAAGAGACAACAGATAATAATCACTTTAGGGTAACACTCGTTAGATGTATAGGTAACTGAAAAAGGATACAAGGTTTCGATATTTATAAAAGGACTATATGTTGTTTAAACCTATGAAACTTGATCTTCCGTGTTTTTCCGAACCTGTTACATATTGTTTGTTCAAGTGTTTTACAGCTGAAGGATGCAAGCAATACCTAGCTTTTATTTCTGTGTCTACCTTAGACTCGTGTGGCGAGCCATCCGTGGCTAACGCCATGTTTCAGGCATCTCGAAGTACTCATCACCTTAGGAAAAGAGAAGACCCCAAGAAAACTTATCTTTGAAAACGTCAAAATTCAGTTAGTCTTCCAGAGCCTTACTGATCTGCCGCACCGCCCTAAACTTATGTAAGCATGTGCATGAGAACGTGCTTCTAGTAAGTTACTTAGCGAAAATTATTATTATAGAGTAGAATAACTTTAAATCCATAGACACATCTATACCGATTCAGTTATATTTAATAGTTACACCGCATACAAATAACTAAGCTAGCAATAACAATAACAGCACTCATAGCATGAACAATAGCAAAAAACAGCGGTGTTTAGTGTGTGAAAATACTGCTTTTCCGCTTTCATATACAATGAAATCACAGGGTAACCTTACTGCGAATAAATTTATATTCTTTCGTGTCCCTACATAACAGACAATGTATAAATTGCAACGTTTTCAGCGTTCATTAATTTACTCATGCTTGCAAGTAATGTATTCCTGCAAACGGAAGTTTCAATTTTTATTAATCTTCGCATCGTTATGTCGAAACTGAAAACGTTTACATAATATTTACAGTTGATTAATTAACAATATTTGCATTTCTAAGAGTTGTTCTTCTTCCACTTGTCCTTTTTTCAAATGTGTGAGATGTTCAAATAAGCCCGACTGATCACCCGTTGTACTTTTTGTCGGCCTCGCCCCTTTGCGTAGACCAGATCTGTTTTCTTTAAAAACAATGAGAGGATGATCTTTCAAGTCCAATATCTTTCTCCTTCTTCAGGAGCAGAAACCAAGAAAACTCCTTACCTCTTTACTCTGTATAAATCGAAGATTATACCTAACATGTACATCAAAACAATATAAGAGACGTATATTTCGAATGTAGAGAGCTGTCAGTTAACTTACTGTAAGAAACGGATGAAACTGTTGATATAGTCAGGAAATGCCTAATAGCCAAAAACGCGATACTTGCCATCTAGAACGGTACTATTTGTTTTTAGACGAAATCAAATGGAACAGTTTGATTAAATCGATTATTGGAACTCACGATCGTTTAGCTTGCTTTTCTGAGCCATTGTGCGGTGATAAGGACATGTTTCGACGTTTTCTGAGCGGTAGGCCTGTTCATCAAAGACGAAGTAAAGGTAGATTCTCAATCCTGGTGGTAATTGACCCGACAACACCACCTGAAGCGGCACGAGTTCCTCATTTTTGCAATGGAGACGGCCATCTTCAGCTCCGTAGACGTAATTAGATTCTCGCCTGGCTGCAGCTACCTCCCCGGATGGAGCATTGGCCACTTGTAGCTTTATGGATAAATGAAACATATGTAGAACCCAAGAGAAAAACGATGGAAGTTTATGTTACATGCAATTGCTATCTAATCAGATTCGATGTATTAGCTTTCACACATATGATCATTTGGTAGATTTTGTCTTTCTTTTTCATTGAGTTGAAACATTCTTTCAAGGTAGTGATTATTATTTCCTCCTATACTAGACTCGCAGTGTATTCTTTACAAATAGCACATTACTAATCATTGTTAGTATCGAGCTTCTTTTATGCGTGGACAGGAGCGCGCGTTTAACGCAAGTGACAAGCAAAGAGGAAAACGACAGAGGAATCTATCTTCCTTTGACTTTTGTGTTCACCTTGAAGCTGAAAAAGCCTGGCCGATCGACCAGATCAATTCCGTTGACGAAATTCGGATCGAAGCTAGGCGCAAGTTGCTCGTTTTCACAGAGCCTAGAGGATCGTGCGTTTCGACAATTCCCCAGATCATGGTTAGTCGTTATTGGCGGCAGCTCAACCAATCCTAATTGCTGGGACGAACAGTCCATAAAAGGTCCTTCGTTTTGTTGAGCAACGCTTTCTGAAAAAAAGACATGAAAAACATGCAAAGGCCCATATAAGAAGCTCGTAGACGCAATGCTAATTCCCCTCCCGATGCATGATTAGTTAAGTAATGTATTATATAAACCGCTTTTTCATTGGCATGAATAACATCGCTCTCTGAGGCGCTTTCTAAGTTTCGTTAATGAATCGAATAACGTCCATCCATTGTTGACGTATCGCCTTATTTCAGCATTCAACGATCTTGTCGCTTTTTACAACAGACAGCGACATTTCTCGATAAGGATCAATCAGTATTAGATTCGGTCGGCGTCTACATAACGATCGGGTAGAAGACCAGGCCTTATCATAGCCAATCTGTCCAGTTCCCGGTTTGCACTAGCCACTTAAGCAACCTACTGGAGAGCCACACTCAACAACTCCATGGACCTGTCGCTAGATGTGCAACCCGATCATGATGGAGCCATTTTGAATGCTATTGCGCAATTAGGTAAGACGATTTTTTTAGGGCTTAGACATGGAGCGGCTGATGTATTGAAACTGTTCATATAATTCGTCGTTTCCTGCGATCATATATGCTTTGACAGCTCATGGTCACATGGTATAAGTGACTGCGCATTCGTTCCAACCATGCCGAACCCATCGTGCTACCATTTTTCGGAAAACGTCTCTCCATATATTCGAAGACGCCGCTTGCTTTGGCTACCATCTAGCCAATTAGCATTATTATGGGTCCATTCTTGTTACTTCCCACCGTGTAGGCGCATGTCCAAGCATAACGTAAGCAAGTTTGCATATCCTGAATATGCTTTTTTTTTTTTTAATGTTCGTAGTGTATCACACCTGTCTTAACTTGTAGGACAATGGGGGTTGGACAGCCTGGAGAAACCGCTTATTTACGTAGAACAATGTCTGTAGACGCACATATATATACATTTTATTACTATTCATTTCATATTCATCAGCTTGAATCGACATTCAATACAGGGAGTGCTATGCGCCATCGAACGTGGGTATATACACTTAAGCAAGTCTACGTTTTACCCTAAAAAAATGATACGTTCTATATACCGAAGCGAACCACTACACAGAATATGTGAGTTGTTATGATGTAATAACGGGCAAAATGTAACGTTTGATTCAAATCGGCTTGATATGTTTGAAATAGAGATTTGTATTCCAGAAAAGTAAATAGTAAAAGTCATGATTATTTGTCCCGGGCTTCTAACTTCGCCTAGTGCTGGTTCAAACACACAGCTTTGAGATACGATATTGTTTTCATGATCAACTTTTTTTTCGTACCTATTTTATATAAATTTTTTGCCCGACTCAACAATGCGACTAACCAACATCACTGTTAGCGCTTCACGATGGCAAGCCACGAGGTGTTTTCGAACGGAAGGACCAAATGTTAAGTAAGAAGTAGACGAGCTCAGAAGAATTCGACCACTGATGAACCGTAACAACATTTTCATTATACGAATCCTATTTGACGCACTGAACTTTCTAGAAGTGTCTGTTCAGATGGTCCAATTTGTATGCAATTTCCTTTTTCGTACTTCGTTTGGATCATTGTCGCGATAATTTTGGTGAGATCGAAACCGATCAAGAGCCGAGGAGGTGGTATAGTTTTTACATATTTTCTCAGCGGGCCCTCTTGTAACCCTTTCCACAAATAGAGCCATCCGCATTCATCATCATAATAATAACAAAAAGTTTTTTTTTGGCATAAACTAATCGCTCGTCCTATAGACAATTTACATCGATGGCTGAAACGAGTGATCCCAATATCCGAGTTCATAACTACTTTACCCGAATAATACCAGCTCTAGTGACGTTTCTTCCAAACAGTGTTATTTTGATGCCGTAGTTTGTTATACCGTTATTTATTTTGAGTAGTAACGTTATCAATCTTGCTGTAGCCTGCTTGGGCACATTTTCCACGAATTCCAATGCAAACTGGGTTGACGCGCGATCTCCTGCGACAAGCGACACCAACAGCAAGCAGTCATCAAGTCGACCATTTTAAATTATTCTGTAACTAAATAGCCCGTTTAAATGTGAATGGTCAGACAGTCTGGTCTACGAATGCACCTTTATCAGAGGCTTCATATGCAATACTAACTACAATATCTTCCGTGATCCAGACGGCCAAAGCCCGACAGCGCTGGAGCTCTTTGACTTCAATGGGCGCCCTTTCATCAGGCGTTACGGGATGATCTTGCACAGCCCTTGTGACGAGTATGGCGTAAGTGGCTTACTTACTGCGTAAGTGGAAATTTAGGGAATATAAAATTTGCTCTATCGCAGCTCATCACCAAGCCGTAACACGCGTTGCCTTATATCGTATACATGTTTTTGTCTACTAGGAAATGTAGGATGAAAAAATCTGGAAAGGATATTATTAATGCGTAAATAGTCGTGTTGCTTGGTTGTATTCTTTTCACTAAGTATCCTCTATTATCAAGTGCGTAACCTCTAAGGACGTTCTCGACCTGCGGCCACTTCTAAACCAATCCGAGCCAGAAATAACGCCTTTGCATCGTTGTCGAGCGGTATCGGTGCGCGTGCCCGAGCATGAGCCTCGACGCATTCGTTTCACTGCCCTGTGAGAGAGATACTTGCTTTTTCTACGTAGATAAACGTCGCCGCCGTCTACTTGGCGGCTAGAGTTTATGAAGATAAGACGCGCACCTTCCATCCATGATCGAAGACCAGAATTAAACCATCGCGTCAAGAGCCAATCATCTCGGCTGCCGCAACCACTGTTGCAAACCCCATTATGGCGTCTACGGGTAGACCCCACAACGGGATGAGTCAGCACCATTAAATCACGAATAATCGAGGAATGCAGGCAACACGCGTGCGCTCTACAAGGTCGTTCGAGTTTGGAAAGCCACTTTCACTGCCACTCGTTTGCCGCGATGAGGCACTGATTAAAGTAGGTTTTGGTAAGGTATTGTTTACGAGATGCGTATATGTTGATGATTTCGGCCGTATGTAGAAGATAAAATTAGCACAAACACCATTGTAGCTATGCATTTGCTGTTTGTATGATTAGTTAAGTGCGTTGTAACGCGGACACTAGATGTTTATTGACCATTGTACTTACTTCACTTAGGATCATATGTGTGGCGAGTTATTCACTATTGACTATCAAGCTAAATTAGCGGCTTTTTCGACGCTCCAAAAGAGATTACGCCCTCAAAACAAAACTTCACTACGATCATTCTTGCGTAGTACCAGAAAATTGCACTGCTTAAGTTCGCTGCTAATCTTAAGGGTTTCAGTTATTGAATCTTGTAACTTCGGTGTAAACGTACAGCCTGTAGTGTTCGGCATGCGCCGCCTGATATAATTTTGCAATCGTGCAGCTTTTCCTTCAGTAAAACTAATGCATATTCAAAAGCTACTAAACAACCGCTGCCTTTAACAACACCGATTTAACTTTAGTGAATTCAACAATCATATTTAGGTGCGTAGGCTGGGAGGTGCTAAGAGGCGTAGCTAGGCATCGTGAGTACGAAGCTAAAAATCCACTCCAGTCACTGTAAAGAAGTTATCTCAACTATCTGTGCAATTGAAAAGTCTTAGGAAAGATAAAATTACTTGTGAGTAACATGAAAAATCACAGTAATAAATGCGAAATTATGATAGAATCTCATAAGATACCAAAATGGATGTGCTCGTGTTACTTCGGTGTGTGGCTGCTAACGAGAAAATGTCTTTTTGAAATATTGGCCTAAACCTCTTTATTACTACTTTTTTTACCTAGTATAGACAAAATAATTTAACCGAAGAAGCTTAGAATATTTTCAAAAAAATAACATTGCTAAGGACACATACTCATAATTATATAGGCCCATATAGTCGGTGTGATAAAATCTCTACGACAGATCGCAATGAACTATTTCGTAAGATCGTTTTCTCGATTCAACTGCAGCGCACTTAATCCTAATTCTTTTCAGTAGGCCTGAAGAGAGCTTGAAGAGCCGCATCTGAACGTGTTTTTGTCACAACACTCCACGTGGGCTATGTCTGCACCTTTGCGCCACCCTCAAAGCAGTAGCGGTACATTGCCAAAATGTTCTGAATTTTTTTTTCGAAGGAAATCGTCTCCATACGGTACTATACTTGCTATTTATGATACATTTACGCCACGGTACGTATCCGAGTTTAACGAAACGTTAACCAATACAAATTTCACAAAGAAATGATCAGGAGCAAATGAGTTCTCCTCAACCGACTACGCATAGCCAAAGCAATACACTTGGCGACGACTATCGATTAACCAAGCTAATCTCGAGCGCCTGTCCATTTACACTCTGTGGCACCCAAAAAAATATTTGAACAATTTACGAGTCAAGCACGGGTGCATCCCTGAGACATTATTATAATGATAAATTACTGACTCTACGGTACGGCGAAGTCACCCACGTCAATGCATATACATTACTTGTTTCTTATATATACGGTTATATACTTCACGAAGTTGGATGGCGCCCAGTCCTCGCACACCCTTGTCGTCCTGGCTCAGTTAAAACATCAGAACAGCAAAACGTCAAACGCGCCTACCCTACACTTACCAGCATCGAAATCTGGGCAACTGTGCTACCATATCGGCTCAGTTCATTGATTCCGCTGCGCTCTATTGGGGCCTGATGATGGAAATCTGCCTACCAGCGAATGGGTGGCCCTTAGCTGTTGCATGGGCACCAGCGACAGGCTGGCAGCAAGCGAAGATAAGCAAAGTTTTCTCTCCTCTTTTGCCGCTCTGACGCTCGACGAGAAACTTGGAAGACTCCGCCTTTTTCATATGGATAGATAACATTGCTCAGTATAGTCATGTGCCCGCTTGTCCGTTCCCTATGGTGGCGACAGCACGGAGATGTCATGGAGACGATCGACCCTCATCAACAACTGGCGGGGTTACGACGGCGTTCGTCCGGGCAGGTTTGGCGGATAGGTGGTTTCAAACGGCTGCGCCAAGCGCTATCGCTGCCTGCTGTTCCTGCACCAACTACCGGCGTGAACAAAGCATTCACTTCTGCCTCCTGTTTGCTGTCAACGTTGGGAAACTTCGAAGGCCACGCACAGGCCAGTATAGTTGCATTTGAATAGCAGATTCGGAGTTCATTTAAACTGACAGAGAGGAATAGTTGAATGGAAAAGATTTTTACACGGAAAAATCACGTAGTCCTTATCAAATGTATAGTGTCAAATGGATTACAAACGATCCTGTTAGAATGGCTACGATGTAGTATCTGCGGTCATAGAAACAGGGTGAATATGGCAAAAAGGGAAACCGAACAAGCTCTTTTAGTAACGTTATGTATATACAATAAGTAGAATGCACGTCTAGTAGTGAAAATAAAGAAAGTTGTTGTTATTGATGATATATAAAAGGTAGGGTTGGGCGATATATACAACAACTTATATCTAACCTCGGAATATACCGGGTTCGCGCGGTTTGACGGCTAACATTTGAAACACCCTAACTTGGCGCAGTTGATTAGTATGCAGTCTTTGTTTGTGATAACGGTTGAATCAATCGAGGCATATATAGATACTTTTTTCACTACTTACCCCTTAAATAGGGCAACTCGATTTGATTCCAATCAGAGTATGTTCCATTGTTCGCGCTACGTTCCATGGAACAGGACTAAGGACCCGTCGAAGTCTTTTATCACCGCTGACGATGTATAGGTCAGACGCACACACACTCACTTCAGTCACTCGAATTAGACTCGATCGAACAGTTCCAGCTCGATTCACCACTAACAACTCACAGTAATGTTAACCGCAGCATTAGTCAACTGCTGAATCTTCTTTTCAATTACCTTATTCAGTGTGACGAGTTGGTCTGTTTGGCTAACGATCACCTCAGCAAATGTTGTCAACTGCAAAACAAGGCACACGTATCAAAAGTATTGACCAGCAATAAGAACAAGCTCAATACAATCAAATTTTCATTCATCAACAACCACGGCGGCAACAACATCCGCAGCAATAACAACGTCTTCAGCGCGTTTTCAAGGTTTCATCTGGGGCAGGTTCGGACATGAAGTGGGGTTGTTCGGGCAGAAGGTTCTTCGCCTACAAGGGCACCGTACAGCAGCCGTGTGAGCATACAGATGAACAAACGTCTTCTATTAGAGGCTACTGCTGGCGACTCAATTTGCCCGCCCTGGGGGTTCGCTGCTGGCGCTGACCCAGCGGAAAGAGCAGCTCCGTTGTGGAAAGGGCAACAGCCGCCAATGGATCGGGTATACAGACGGCGAACAGCCGATGTACTGCTGGTGTTACTGCCATTTCTGTTCATGTTGTCTTTGGCGTTATTGTTGTTGCTAGTCTTACGACTAGTCTTCTTGTTGCTCCTAGCCCCCGCTCTCGTAAGGCTTGAAACGATGTGAGCAAATGGATAAGAATTAAAGGGAAACGTAGCCAGCGCCGGTGTTATCCAGTAGACGCGGCCAGCGCGCATGCGTCGTATCTACATGGCTGAAAGCGTAAACTGGGATCGGAGGGGCAGAACTGCATTTGGTTAGCGTAGACACGCATTTGTTAACGGGATACCGTTAGAGTACGTATGGCCTATACCGACAACGTTGTTTTGCCCTTTACACTAAGCTATTAGAAATACGTAGACGTCTGTGCCGGTGATGGCTGAGCCGTCGAAAGACCAACTCGCCTCTCTGTAGAATGCATATGGCGATAAACTTTTCTAATGGAAAATACGTCATTCATAGTAAACTCGACCGATTTGAATTAATAGGAGTATTCATAGACCTCGCTATGAAAACTACGTATGAAGTGTCGAGTTCAATCGACTCTTAAATATCCTCCGCTGCTATGTGTCACTCGACCTCTAGTAGTAATATTGATTGACAACGTACGATTATCTTGAAGAGGATCACAGATTCATTCCTGATAATTTTTCTTAATGATAGAAACTAATTCATTAATTCAATTAGTTTTCATGTGACGAAACAAACTTTGTCAAAGACGATTAGGCCATTTAATAGAGCTTTACCGGAAACCTACTTTACGGTTCATTTTTACGTGAACTGTCAGATTTGTATTTGGATTGTGAAAGAAACTCTTGATCCATATCACTATTCCATTTGATTTAAGCACTGAATCTGTCATAGATAATCAGTTTGAGCGTTTTCGGGCATAACAGCCGGTAGATTCAACGTTAATCATTTCTTACGCGTACTCCTGTCAAAAAATTAGAGCCGGGAGCTGTGAGGCATTCTAGGCCAACATTCGACCTAGAAAAAGATTTCGAGCCTCTATTAAACCCTCTACCGAGGTCATCGTAATTGAGCTCCGCTTAGACCAGCATGATAATTTAAAAGGCTTTTATTAGACAGCATTCGCTTATTATCTATATTATACATGACTATTTATCACAAATCGATGAGCTACATTCGCCAATCTTCATACTCAAATTAACAAAATATGTACACAGTATCCTGTTAACATCAAATCACGCTCTGTTTTGTTGGTACGTTACACTCATATGGGTCTACTGTGCAGTTGTCATCCAGAAGCCTTTACTTCTTAGCAGAGAGTTCATGGAATTTTTTCGCAGTACCTAAGACCTGCCCGGGCTCGTTCTCTTAAGATAAAGACCACCCCTATATCATGAGTTTACAGGCCTGCTGGGGTTGCAAGCAGACCTCAACCTTACAGGTACAGGTTAACTGTAACAATACGGCGCTCGGCAATCAGCTACACTCAAGAAAAATGACGTATAGGAATGCATCGAATACAC